ACCCTTGTCCAAACAAATATGGAGTATTGACATATTTTGTCTGTGGCTATCCCATCTTCTCCTGATCCCTAATCATAGCCTGAACTTTATTTTTTATATTATTTAGAATTATTACTTATAAAACTTGTTGGCATTGTTTTAAACAGAGCCCTGTTAGGATTGAGTGTTCCTCTCCTTTACTTCAGTTGTCTTGCCTCAGGGCTCTCTTCCATTTGTTTTTACATCCTGGCAATGGCGTGGCTAGGCAATTTCTGACACCAGACTTGGTGACCTTAGACACACACCCTTTTTAGATGGAACCATTTTACTGTTGTTTCTTTACTTACTTACATTTGGGGCATTTACATTTACTTACTTACTTACATTTCCGGCATCTCCTGCTCATTCTGCTGACTGGGACCATGGGCATTTGACCTGAACCCCTGACGATCATTCTGGGACCTACTGCGTTCTGGGACCATTGCTATTTCTTATTAGTTGGTATTTCTAGTCATGCTAATTTGAGACACTTGGGAGACTTAAGGTTTAGGATAGTACTGATGCTGTTTAAGAGGATTTTGGCACTCTGAACAGATGGCAGATAGAGGCATTATCTCCCTGAATTGTGCCTCTTGGCTCCTTAGGCAAAGGAGAGAATTCTCCAATTGCCAATATCAAGTGTGAGAAACATTTTTTTTATTGACATTGTCATTCAGCACCAAGAGATTAATCAATAAAGTATATTTTTTTAAAAAAAAAACCTACACAATTGCTGTTGCTATTATAGAGAATAATGATTCTATATTGCAGAAACGGACATATCTTCTTAAATAATGTCCCTGATCTCTGTGGGGCTCCTTGTCCACCCCCCATATCCTCCTAATCTCTCATTTCCCAGTAGCAATTCGTTTCTTTGGGGCCTTCTTTTTTGGGTTGGTTCTCGATACTGTTTTGAATACTAATATTGCCAGGGAGTGTGCCTGCTTCCTTCTTTCCAACCAACGTGCACATTTGTAAATAACATCAATAACACCATCTGTCTGTTGTACACTTTCATCATAAGGAAGTGGACTTTGTAGCGGCAGGCCCTGGAATTTCCTGCGGCTTGAGGAAGTGTTGAAGCACCACACAAAAAAATGCTATTGTCTCATTCTTGGTAGCAGCAGCCCGTTTCTGTTTCTCAAAATGGAAACACGGAATCTTCTCTAGTCATGACAACATGTACAGCAGCAGTATTTGGATACTTGCTTTGTAACAATAAGAATGGAAATGTGTGTTTTTCCCCCTTCACATTTGCCATGGCTGATTTTTAGTATTGTCAAAAGAAAATTACTCCTCTGGATGCCAGATACTTTAATTAATTGCTTGTTTCCAGAATGTCATTTGCTAATGCCTGCTGAGGCATGAACTCTTGTATTTGGAAATTAAAAATTGACATTTATAATCATTACATCTTTGCCTAAAGTCATAATTGTAACCTGAGCTCCTAATTCCATTACTGTGAAGCTTCTGAATGGAAAAAGGAATGCAACAACAGCACAACTAATGCAAGGACTGTTAAAACCCCAAATTGAGTATTTTTTCCCGTTCTGTCTGCTTTACCAGCTGTTGTCCCCTATGCATAGAGGTCATTCCTGAGCCAGACCTGAGACATCTTCCATGTGGATGTTGAAGTCACCCAAAGTTCTAGGTTCCTCAAACACCAGAGAGGTGGTTGAACAGTAGGATAGGTAATACAAGAACAGCCTCCCTAATACGTCTCTTTGGCCCAACACCAGATGTAGCTACCCCCTCCCCAAAGCACCAAAAACCATAAAAAGGACAAGGGCTTATCCACATTGAGTGGCAGACAGCTGCCCTTCAATATGGCTTACAAAATCCACCCAATGCATTCAAATGTATAAAAAAGGTAAAGGAGCCCTGACAGTTAAGTCCAGTCGCGAACGACTCTGGGGTTGCGGCGCTCATCTCGCTTTACAGGCCGAGGGAGCCGACGTTTTGTCCACAGACAGTTTTTCCGGGTCATGTGGCCAACATGACTAAGCCACTTCTGGCGAAACCAGAGCAGCGCACGGAAACGCCATTTACCTTCCCACCAGAGTGGTACCTATTTATCTACTTGCACTTTAACATGCTTTCGAACTGCTAGGTTGACAGGAGTTCAAATGTATAGATCACACCATAAATGGAACAGCGGGAAAATAAATGAATCTTGAAATTAAGACATTAAAGCATTACAGTGGTGCCTCACAAGACGAAATTAATCCGTTCCGCGAGTCTCTTCGTCTTGCGATTTTTTCGTCTTGCGAAGCACGGCTATTAGCGGCTTAGCGGCTATTAGCGGCTTAGCGGCTTAGCGGCTATTAACGGCTTAGCGGATTAGTGGCTATTAACGGCTTAGCGGCTTTAAGAAAAAGGAAACAAACTCACAAGAACTCGCAAGACGTTTCATCTTGCGAAGCAAGCCCATAGGGAAATTCGTCTTGCGGAACGACTCAAAAAACGCAAAACCCTTTCGTCTAGCGAGTTTTTCGTCTTGCGAGGCACCACTGTAAAAACAAAAGATAAAATCATGTATGCAGTGGTACGTTGGGTTACAGACACTTCAGGTTACAGACTCCGCTGATGGGGTCCAAGGGAAAGCAGAGCAATACGTTTGGCACCAGCTTGGCTGCAGGAGCTGCTGGAGGGAGGTTTACAATGTGCCATCTGTTCTAGAAAGCTGAGAAAGGCCAGAATTTGGTGATGGAGTGCAGTGGAATTCCACTACAGTGGAGAGTAGCTTGGAAAGCACTGAGCTGGAAACCTCAGTCTGGTTCACTGTGGGTACAGCTAGTCAGAGGGGATGGAGACAGCCACACCTGCTAACAGCTTCTAGGAGCTGCAGGTGAGAGCTGAGTGCAGGATGGGGATGAAGGCGAACAAACTACCCTGGAAGGAGCATGGTGTGTCCCCCACCAGAGGTACCACCATGAGTAACAGCATAGCTCCTCTAGACCACAACAAGTAGAGATATTTCGCCAGGAAGAGCAGACTCCCCTGCAGTGAAAAATAAGCAGCTGGCTGTTATCTCCTCTCAGAAATCATGGAAACATTGACTTCTTGAAAGTCTTCTTGTTTACTTTTACATAAGCATCTCATACCTGTCTTTTTGTTTCTGAGCTACAGGAGAACAGAGCACACTGTGCAAGGCAGTGGAGATGAGTCACAGCTCCCTGTCACTTAAACTGATAATATGTTACGACAAATTGTATTCCAAGACATTTTGTGTTTCATAAGGCTAACAAAGTAGGCGTTGCCTATTTGGGTATCTTGAACGATGGCTTAAAGGTGCGACGTAGAAACAAAGCAACGAAAGCTCTATTCATGTGTTTGGAAGAATGTGAGTGGGCACAAAGTGTATAAAATGTGTGTGCATGCACCACCCTCACTGCCAGTGCTCTCCTGGTACCACGCACACCTTTTCCACCTCTGAGGGGCTTCAAAGTGGATGCACTTGCAAATCACTTTGTGACTGGCAGCGTCAACGTTTGGGAATGCAGAAGGGCGAGGGGGTGAAACAGGCTTAGGCCCACATGTGTTCTTTTGAATACATGAATAAGGGGAGACTATCTTCTGTTCCAACATTTACCTTAAAACGACAGACGACTCTGGGGTTGTGCGCTCATCTCGCTTTATTGGCCGAGGGAGCCGGCATTTGTCCGCTGACAGTTTTTCTGGGTCATGTGGCCAGCATGACTAAGCCACTTCTGGCGAACCAGAGCAGCGCACGGAAACGCCATTTACCTTCCCGCCGGAGTGGTACCTATTTATCTACTTGCACTTGAACATCCACGTTTGCGAGAAACAATAAATGCCATCAGATGCCCTCAAAGTATGTAAATTTATAGAAAGGTATGTAAAACTATAGAAAGGTATAGAAAAATTAACGTTATTCATTGTGGTGGGAGTTTGTGGTCACATAATTGTTTGCTTTAATGATATTGAAGACATAAAGATCAAGGGACTTTAATTGTGGCATTTTCTGATTTTTGAGAGCTTAATGCAACCTTACATGGGCTTCTCCATTTAGTAGGGTATTTATAGTTTGTGTCAAGAGAAGCAGCATCTCTCTAATTGTCTTATTGCCATTTGTCATCAGATGTTAAGCTAAAGACAGAGTGATGAGTAGCAGGTATTCCCTGTTGCAGTTGGAGGGAGTTTAAATCCTCCTTTGCTTTAACCTGATCATTCAGCGCCTCTTTGCAGTGCTTACCTTTCTTATTTGGCCATTCAAAGTGTCCAGGTTTAGTGAAAGAACCGGTCTGCTTACTTTTGGTTTTGGCATTGTAGCCTTTCTCTTTGCTTCTGAGTCTGAGTTCTGTATCCAGTGAAGTTTTTGGGGAGGAGACTCCTTGAACATGCACAAGCTGTTATTGTATACACAAACATAGTAGCCATGGATTCTTGCAAGCTATTGTGTAGGTTTCTGGTGCACCCTTACCTGGCAGTGATGATTGTTGCCACCAGTGTCAAAACTGGGCATTGTCTTTCTTGGCAACGTAACGTTCTAAACAAAGCTTTTCTGTAACACTTGATGCCCCTGTCTGCACACTTGTCACTGTGTCTGCCTTTGAAACAGAGGGACCTTGTATTGGGAGCAACCTAGGCCTCTAGACTACAAGCAGTGGCGTAGCGTGGGGGGTGCAGGGGGGGCGGCCGCACCGGGCGCAACATCGGGGGGGCGCTCGCACTCGCAGCTCTCTGCCCCTACCTAAAATCCACGGGTTAGGGGGCGCAAATTACTTGCCTTGCCCCGGGTGCTGACAACCCAAGCTACGCCACTGACTACAAGAGAACATGAAAGCCATGCTTGGGAAAAATCAACCTTTTAGTGTAACAGCATCTGTTCTCTGCAACTCCCTGCATACTGCTATTAGGCAGCTATTAGGCAGGCATCTTCATGGTACTGTTGTTGACACCTAGAATCATAGAATGGCAAAATTGGACGGGACCACGAGGGTTATCTAGCGCAACCGCCCTGCAATGCAGGACTCTTTAGCCCAATGTGAACCCATGACCCGGAGATTTATAATCTCATGCTCTACCAACTGAGCTACCTGCTAAAACCTTTTTGTTTAGGCAGCCTAGTCAGACATATTTTATTGTGCGTATTTATTTTAAAAACTGGACGTGGGTGGTGCTGTGAGTTAAACCACAGAGCCTAGGACTTGCCGATCAGAAGGTTGGCGGTTCGAATCCCCACGACGGAGTGAGCTCCCATTGCTCGGTCCCTGCTCCTGTCAACCTAGCAGTTCGAAAGCATGTCAAAGTGCAAGTAGATAAATAGGTACCGCTCCGGCGGGAAGGTAAATGGCGTTTCCGTGCGTTGCTCTGGTTTGCCAGAAGCAGCTTAGTCATGCTGGCCACAAGACACGGAAGCTGTACGCCGGCTCCCTCGGCCAATAAAGCGAGATGAGCGCCGCAACCCCAGAGTGGGCCATGACTGGACCTAATGGTCAGGGGTCCCTTTACCTTTACCTATTTTTAAAACTGTTGCTTTTATCTATATTTTGATAAATTTAATTACGTCTACTTGTTTTATATTGGTAGATGTTATGAGTGTTTTATATTGTTTCATGTAAACTGCTTAGAAAGTTCTTTTTTTAATTAAGCAGTACATAAATAAATAACTTCTTTCTTTCTCTTTATATCTTTCTAGAGACTTCTTTGTACTTACGGTTTTGCAGATTGAGAATTGAATAGAAACTCCCTCCTATTATAAGGTGTAAACATTAACATAACTATATGACCACGAGGCATATATTTCCATACTAACCTTTCCCTCTGGAATTGTCATCCTTTACTTATTAAGGAGAATCCAGATGTTGCCACTGGCAAAAGGGTGCAATCTAGTTTTCCTCTGCCATATTCCCATTCTTGATTTGTGGTGATGATGATGCCTTTGTATGGAATTGCACTAGGCTTCCATAAGTGGATTGGCAAACTTGTCTTAATTCCATTGCATTTCCACCATCATGCACATTCCTCCATTACATTAAGGCTAGTAGGAGAGGATATGTTGATTAAATATTATCCTTCCTTCACTCACACTAGTGAGTCATGTAGCACAGCAGATTCCCCTCAATACAGCAGGAAGCTAGTTTTCAAATTCATTTGAATCTCTTTAGTTAAGCAATCCAGTCTGGTTTGATCAGACTGGATTATTCCTGGTGTCCCCTTTGATCCCTATTAAAAGAATAAAGACACAAGAGTCATTCCTTAAAAGTAACAAGAAGTTTACTCACATTCAGTTCACAGAATGATCCCTGAAGGCAGACTTTAGCTCAGCAGTCAGCAAACTACAGCCCGGTGACCGGATGCGTCCCACCAGGCTCATAAATCTGGCCCATGGACCCTGCCACCCACTCGGTCAGTCCCCGTGTGCTGAGCTAAACCGGCACGGCACAGCATTTCCTTAAAAAGAAGCTGCAGACGCCACGCCTTGTGGGGACTGACTTTGAATGCTCCTGCAGCCAATCCAAAGCCGCGGACAGCTCTGGGCAGGCAGCAATGCTGGCATGGCTTTGGATTGGCTGCAGAAAGTTCCTGCAGCCAATCAGAAGCCTCACTGCCCGCACACTGAGGTAAACCCGGCGCGGACATGGACGGAATTTTATTTTCATGAGCGTCTGTTTCTTACAGGAGCAAATGCATTAATTGACTGACACAGTTATATATATTTTTAATTTACAGTGGTACCTCGGGTTAAGAACTTAATTCGTTCTGGAGGTTCAGTTTCTTAACCTGAAACTGTTCTTAACCTGAGGTACCACTTTAGCTAATGGGGCCTCCCACTGCCGCTGCACAATTTCTGTTCTCATCCTGAAGCAAAGTTCTTAACCCGAGGTACTATTTCTGGGTTAGCGGAGTCTGTAACCTAAAGCGTCTGTAACCTGAAGCATCTGTAACCTGAGGTACCACTGTAATGGGAAGGTACATTTCCAGCAGGTGCTATCATATTACATTAGATGTCATTGGTTAAAAAGAGGTGGAGGACAGCTATTTCACATTGAAGAGAAAGCTGATTTCCACCACATTAGCCGCCCCTCATGCTGTCCACAGCTGGTGTGGGGAAGACCAAGGAAATGAACACAAGTGATTGGAATTGGGTTGAGTTAGGCCACAACTTTATTGATTTCAGGTAAAGGTAGGTTTGGCTAAGGCAGTGGTTTTCAACCAGTGTGCCTTGAATGACAGTCAGGGATGCCACAGGCAACACTGGCCTCTGCTCCTCTTTCCTTCCCTCCCTTCTTGTGTCTCTTCCTCCCAAAGGCTTGCACAGCTGTTTGTTGCAGCAGCCCTGGCTATAAGCTCCCTGGGCAAACGGTGCCTCTGGGGCTGGCCAGGGGGTGCTGGTTGCCAGGAGTGGAAGTGGCCTTGGAGTAGCAAGCAAGCAGACGAGGAAGCCCAGCTAGGCAGTCCACCAGCCCTTGCTGTTGGGAATGGACAGACAAGTGGGAGGCTGCGCAGACAGGCACTGGCCTTCTTGTGCTTGCTGTGTGCAGGACCTGCCTGGGAGCTGAGAGCCCAGTGCTGAAGAGGAGACAGTCTGCCATGCAGGCCCGGCCGCACTCACTACTGCCACTGCTGCCTCCGAAGGTAAGCTGCTGGCCTCACATTCACCTATGGCCAGTCTCTCTTGGGCCACTAAGGCTAGGGGCATCCTCTTCCCAGGCCCCTGTTGGGCGGTGTGAGGAGACACCTCTCTTTGGGGCAGGAGGACAGCTCAGAGAGGAGAGGAGGCTGAGGGAACACTCAACAAGGGAGGGTGTTCGAAAAACGTTGAGAGGCTGCCAGCTCTACAGACAAGGGGTGGCGTAGCTGGGCTCCTGAGCCCCACAGGGGTGCCACAGAAAGAATGTAGTTGGTCAAGGGAGCCATGGTCTCAAAAAGGTTGAAGTATTCTGGGCTAAGGTATTGGGCATGTATCAGGCAGTCCTCATGTTGACTGATAAAAACTCAGTGGGTCGACCTCATTCTGGAGAGTTGCTCCTGACATGGATGCCACAACCCCACACAGGTCCACCACTGGGAGAGCTGTTTTGGCCCATGGGTCATCGTGTAGACTCCTGGAAAGAGTAGCCCCTACTGGACCCTTTTAATGGGGTAAAAGGTAAAGGGACCCCTGACCATTAGGTCCAGTCGTGGCCGACTCTGGGGTTGCGGCGCTCATCTCGCTTTATTGGCCGAGGGAGCCGGCGTACAGCTTCCGGGTCATGTGGCCAGCATGACTAAGCCACTTTTGGTGAACCAGAGCAGCACACGGAAACGCCGTTTACCTTCCCGTCAAAGCGGTACCTATTTATCTACTTGCACTTTGACGTGCTTTCGAACTGCTAGGTGGGCAGGAGCAGGGACCGAGCAACGGGAGCTCACCCTATCACGGGGATTCGAACCGCTGACCTTCTGATTGGCAAGTCCTAGGCTCTGTGGTTTAACCCACAGCGCCACCCGCGTCCCTCCCTTTAATGGGGTACATGCATGAATAAGAACCCAGCCCAATGCCTTATCCGCAAAGTTGTGACAGTTGCTATGAGGGATGCAAAAACCTTCAAGCCGGCCAATTTGCTTGAAGGAGAAAAGTGCTGCCGAATATGGCAACCTGCAAACATCCACAAGTGACGTCAGGTTTACAGCAGCAGAAAACAAGGTGAAGCTAGTCGTTTCATCCAGCATTACAACTGATGGGAAAGATGGACGTTCTGTTAATGCAGTCTGCTCTTCATCAAGCCAGGCTTTTAGATTCCTTGCACTTACTCTGACCCTTGTTAAGTGAAGACAAATGAAATCACCCTCTAACTGTAATCTGAAGGATTTATTACAACCAGCATCCTAGACTGGAGAAGGGAACAGTGGGAGATTTATGAAATGGGAAGACCAACATTAATTTTTCAGGCCAAAGAGGGCAATCTCTTTCCCTCTGTTGCCCTCCTTCTCCACTCACCATCATGCAACCTCACTCTGCCAACCAGTTTCTTACGTACGCACGGCCAAACTGCATAAAAACAAATAAATCGTCTGATTTCATTTCTGTCACCTCTTTCGATTTTGTAGAAAGCTACTGTAGGGAGTGTCCAGCTTGGATCAGAACCACCACACTTTGAGAAGGGCGTTAACCCTTTGCCCATAACCACCACTGTAATTATCCACATTAAAATGCCCTCCAATCTGTTAGGTTTTCATATGTTTTCCGTAATGGAGTACAGAGTAGGCCTGGTTTTCATTTAGAAAACAGTAGAGGGACATACACAAACCACCAGCTACTGCAGGGGGATGGGGACTTGCAGATATAGGAGATGCAATAATAATTTGCTACAACACCCTGAAACACTTGCTGATCGACTATCAGCTAGAAGTGCAATTATACATGTTCTTCCACAGGGCATTTCGTACAGTGCTATATCTTCATTAACATCCTGCAACACCTTTCCCAACATCAAAGGCAAGAGTAAGTGATGGCAATCTTCCAAGAAGAAGATTCTGAAAATGTTTACCCAGAAGTAAATCCTAGTGTGCTTAGGCTCATTCCCTAATGATGAATTCAACGTTGCACCAAGTTCTTGTCATTTGGCCCCAGTTGCAGCAGCAGAATGGCTTCTGCAAGAAAAGGGTAGGAATCCAGCATGTTATTGTTATGCAACAGATTGCTGTTGGCCCAGTACCTCCCGTTGCACAATCAACTGCATACAAGCTTACACCAGTGCAACCATTCCATTGGATTTCATATTGCGCTAGCATTATTCTCACCCTTAGGTCTGAGGACTTGAGACAATGCACACTGGACCATAAAGCCATTCCTTCCTAAAAGAGATTGGATAAGAGGAGCCAAGGGTAAGGTTACCAGATTTTTTTCAATAAATCCGGGGACACAATCAATCGATCAATCAATCAATCAATGAATAAATAAATAAATCATCAATCTTTATTACGGTCCAGACACCCAACAAATCATTACAAAGCAATACATAATTCATACAGCCTACCTCCAGGTTAAACAAGCATTTTGTTCAGAATATAGGGATCATTGGTTCTTGCAACCACCGATAAAAACTTTGCCACTG